TCGTTGGAAGTACTTGATAAATTGCATGCATATATTGGTGATTTTGAATCTGTTCAAAGTTTTGATTTTTCTACCCTATATACCACTTTGCCTCATATTCTTATTAAGAAAAAATTCACACACCTAATTAGATGGGCATTTAAAAAGTCGGAATGCGAATACATATGTTCAAACTCTTTTAGGTCATTTTTTAGTAGCAACAAACAAAAGAACTATGTCAACTGGACATGCTTTGATACGATATCTGCCCTTGAATTTTTACTTGATAACATTTTTGTGCGCTTTGGAGATTCCGTATATCGTCAAGTTATCAGAATTCCAATGGGGACTAACTGTGCACCACTTATTGCTGACCTGTTTTTGTATTGTTATGAGTTACAATTTATGACTAAAATCAGCAAAGACCCATCGAAACAACATCTGATAAAAAAATTTAACAATACTTTTAGATATTTGGATGATATATTGGCTCTCAATAATGACGACTTCAGTATGTATGTAACACTCAGAAACGTTTCCTTCCCCCCAAACGTGTCCGATTCCCCCAAACGTGTCCACATGACGTCACTGAACTGCAAAACATGTCTAAATGTAAAAGGGCGGCAAAACGTGTCATTTGTCTAAACGCCCAAACGTGTCCATTCCCCCAACCGTTTCCATATCAAGCTTATTTTTTTTTTCTTTTACTGGAACTATCATTCGTGTCCATATTATAAATACGTAGGTTATTTGGTTATTTTTTTTCATTAACGTATACTCATTTTACTATTTCATTAAAAACTAGAAATAAATTACTTTAGGTCTTTTTTAAACCGGCATAACCTGGTTAAAAATGGGGGCGTCCGTTCGGCTATGTTGGATGTAAATGTAAGCAGCCATGTTCAATTAAAATGTAGATATTAAATCAGAAACCTCGTGTAGGGAGAATGTCCCATTATCTGCGCATTAAAACCTTTGTAGCAATTCACTCTTTCATGGTGCCATCAGTTGTATTTTGGAAGGCAACATGTTTTAAAAATTTCCGCAACTTTTATTTAAAACGGCCTCTATTACTAAACGGAGATTGCAGTAGTTGCTTACCGAAGTCATAAATAAATCCGTCTTCACTCGCTCTTATTTTTTTTAGATTAAAATCCCAATTAGTGTTAATCCCGAATAACCGTCAAAATTTAGGCCCAATCCTAAATTCCCGGTATGATAATAGAACCTATATACAGTATTTATTGTTAACATGATGTCGTTAAAATAATGCATGAAATATTTGGCACTGGACGTTATTTCTCTTGTTCGTGTGTCTTTAGTGATGCTCGAAACTTAAAATTTATTAAAAAACCTGAAAACCAGTTTATGATTTGAAGAAATTTTAAAATATGAAATTTATCCTGTTGAACTTACTTTAAATAAAGCTAATACTAACAATGACCACTGTCCTTTCCTCGATCTTGATATCTATATCATTAACGGGAAGCTTAATACAAAAATTTATGATAAAAGAGATGATATTTCATTTCCTATCGTTAATTATCCATTTTTAGATGGTGACGTTCCCTTGTCACCATCTTATGGTGTTTATGTATCTCAACTTGTACGATTCACTCGTGTATGTAACAACGTATTAGATTTTAGCGAGAGAAATTTATGTATTACTGAAAAATTATTACACCAGGGTTTTCGATATCATAAACTAGTCAAAACATTTACTAAATTTTATCATCGGTATAAGGACATCATTCGTAAATATAACTCAACATGCAGACATCTTATACGTTCGGGTATTTCACATCCAATCTTTTATGGTAATATTCTTTACAAAGCACAAAAATGTCAGTATTCACCTCAAAATCTAACAAAACCTTTAGACAGACTTAATAAGAAGGGATATAGTTACGATACTGTTGTCAGGTCATTAAAGATTGCATATTTTGGCTTTAATATTGATTCACTTATAGGGTCTTTGCATCGGAATTAAACACATTTATTTTAAAACCAGTTGTTGGCATGACACGGGTTGTGTTCTTCTCATATAATTTATGACGGTATAATACTAAACCCCTAACAGTAGGGATTATGCCTGATATTTATATGATGAAGACATAATCTTTCAATCAGTTTAATTGAGGTCTGGAGCTGGCATGTCAGTAACTGCTAGTAGTCTGTTGTTATTTATGTATTATTGTCATTTTGTTTATTTTCTTTTGTTTCCCATTCTGACATCGGACTCGGACTTCTCTTATACTGAGTTTTACTGTGCGTACTGTTGTGCGTTTGTTTTTTCTACATTGGCTAGAGGTATAGGGGGAGGGTTGAGATCTCAAAAAACATGTTTAACCCCGCCGCATTTTTGCGTCTGTCCCAAGTCAGGAGCCTCTGGCCTTTGTTAGTCTTGTATCATTTTTAATTTTAGTTTCCTGTGTATAATTTGGAGTTTAGTATGACGTCCATTATCACTAGTATACGTATTAGTTTAGGGGCCAGCTGAAGGACGCCTCCGGGTGCGGAATTTTCTCGCTGCATTGAAGACCCATTGGTGGCCTTCGGCTGTTGTCTGCTCTTTGGTCGGGTTGTTGTCTCTTTGACACATTTCCCATTTCCATTCTCAATTTTATATCAAATACAGAACATAAGGAAAACGTTCCATTTGTCATCCCCACGGAATAAAATTAATGTGTCAATGTTTTTTACGTAGGGTTTTAGTCACATGGAACTCTTGCCGAAAATACGTCAACGGTTAAACATAAGGTCAAGTGTTCATACCATGTGTTTAACAACAAACCCCCGAGTCTTGATATGTGAATGCATACAAATGTTTTGTTTTGATGGTCTTTTTGTTGTTGTAACTGACTCTTTGACATAGACCCATCCAGATGCGGATCCAGGATTTTGAAAAAAGGTGCCCGGGGCCCCAAACTAGACAACGTTTTGAGTGGAACAGGTAAAAGGTCTGCATTAACCATAAATGTAGCTCTATAGGGGGCCCGACACCCTCCGCCCCAAATCCCCTTTGCGGCATCATACCCTTTTATTCATAACTTATTTGTATGGCAAAATTATATTCCAGATCGAAAATCACCTAACATAAAAATAAGAAGACGTGGTATGATTAATAATTTACTATACCCCTTCCTTTTACTATCAATTGACGTTCTATTATAGTGTTTTGTTTTGATGTTCCACTGATCAAAATCAAGAGGGGGAAGGGGTGGGGTGAAATCTCAAAATACAATTTTATTCCCGCAACATGTTCAGCTGTCTTTCCAAAGTCTGCCGGTAACTTCGTCTATTGTTGTCGTTTGTCTTATCTTGATCCAGATGTATATGTTTCATTTTTTTAAAAGTTTTTCAATAGTTTTTGTTACATTCATTCTTACTTTTTAGAGTCAAGGCCATTTATATCTGACCTGCCTTTTGTTTAGATGTGACTTGGTTTATTGTGTCGTTGAATCGCTTTCTCATTGGAGCTTATGTTTATGTAATTTATTGAATATCGACTTTAAATAAAACTTTGAATTGAATTGAATTGAATTGGCGTATTCCCATTCGACTAAACACAGATCTTGAGCATCAATTTGAAACTAGGTTCAACTACTATTTGATTATTTTTCAGACAGTTTTACCCTGGTCTTCGATGAAATATCTTGTTCTCATCTGCAGATGATAAAGATAATATTACGGATACCTGTACTCGGTTGCGTAGTATTTGACGTTCTAGTTATTAGTCTGACCATCTAATTATGTGGAAGCACGTCTTTAAACTTGCATCAGATATTTTCTCTAATCATATAACCTTGTACATCATAATATGTTATAGTGTATAGCAATCCTCTAGGAAACGATGACCACAAAAGGTAAATGGGCATTTTTCATGATCATTTAATCTACTCTCTGCCTCTGTGTGTCTCTCTACCATATATATCACCTATTGTAAGTTACTGAACATGAAGAGATATGGCCAACTTCCCCTGTATTTGCTTCACTCAGAGGATTAAATCTAAAAGTATTCAAAACCCACTGGAAATTGCATATTGACGAGTCTATATTATGGTGATACAAAATGGCAATACATGTTTTTATCAATTTTGCATCGAAAGACATCTCTAACCGAAATGAATTTAATTTAATGCATACCCGAAACACAATATAATTATATAGTTTTACTTATATAAGAATTTTGGATAACGATGTCTTTATATATTTTTGGGATAATTACTCAACATTTGTCAACATCTGTCAAATTTACGGTTTCGGTGCTTTCTATTGTCAACTTTATAAGTAGGTGATCTTTTTAGAAATACTCTATAATATTGTTAAATACCTTTTATACACACAATTGGTTGGGATACTGTGATTGTAAAATTAAAGATTGAAATACTTATTGAACATGAGAAATAAACTCAAGGAAATTTGGTCCTCGCTCTAAGTCATACAGATGCAGATATACTATAGTCCGTATGTGACACTGCAAATAAACAACATCTAAAATTAGACTATTAATACAAAAAGTAATATTTTTTGCATTTGTAAGAGACATTAGGGGAATTTTAGATCATCACAAAGGATGACTTACAAATGTTTCTGCTCTTGAACACGACAGTTGCTGGAAGGTCTTTATAATAAACTATTAATTATTATCAATCTAAAAGATAGGCGCAAGATACCAAAGGAATATTCAAACTTCATAATTCGAAGACAAATTTATAATGCCATGGCAACAAACGAAAAACGACCAAAAGACAGTCTTTAAAACACAACATGCGAAACTAAAGACTGAACAGCACGAACCTTACAAAAAACCGGAAGTGATCTCAGATGATCCGAAAGGGTAAGCAGATCCTGCTTCATAGGCTCATATACGTACAGATTCATGTGATGTCACATTCGAGGAAAGGAGTACGGGATTGTGGGTAGAACAATTGGAACATATCCGTCGTCATTTGTGAAACAGATATTCCATAACGGTCAACCAACTCGTGATGGCGTCCGTATTATTCATTTTCGAAAAAATGACTTCAACTTCACCACTTGGAACCCATGGTGCTATAGCTTTATTGTAAGCATCAAATCTCTTTCAAGGAATTCATGATAGGAAATGCAAGCTCTGGAATATCGTATCAACTGGGGCATATGTACTGATATGCAGGCGCTTTTCGAACGTAGAAATGAATGTTCAAAATTGGGAAGCTGAAATCATCTCTTTTGTCGTAAAGTTTTGTTCTCAAATGACCCTAATTGTAAATTTCTAGACGTGAGTCAAGATATTATATATTTGTTTTTATATTTGTCTTTCTACCTAGCAGATACTTTTATGTCCCGGTATTGTTCTCGTTTACTTTAATACAAAAATAGTATTCGAGTGCTGGTTTTATTTTTATCAAACTGAATACTTTGATGAAAATGTAAAAAAAAAAAATAATTGATTCCATTTTTCTGCAAAAGAAAATCTATTATATATTTTTTATTGAAGGAAAGTCTACGCAGAATAGATGTGCTCAGTATAATGGAACATTTAATCACAACCAAGAACAAAATGGAGTTCAAACTTCAGAAAAACACATGGTTTCTTTTTCTGATAATGTTAAATCTGCAACGATATCATCCGATTCTATACCTGAAGTTAGTTCTCTTCAAAGACCATCCCTTATAGAAATGTATACATCAAAACGTTGGGGAATTACCTTTTTGGCTTTTACAGTGATTACTCTGTCCTTGACCTTGAGGATGGGAATGAGTATGGCAATCGTGTGCATGGTTAAGCCAAAGAATAACAACGAAACTAGACCCTTCAACCAATCAGAAAGCTTATCATCTACGCGTCATGACGAGGTGAGTGGCTGACCAAAATAAAGAATTTAGTTATATTGACATATAAGATGTAAGAGAAAAAAAGAACGAATATATTACTGGCATTAAGAGACATTTTTTTAGCTTAGATAGAAGTGGTAAAAAACGACAATTTAGATGGCAAGAAATAGTTTTATCTATTTTCAGGAATGGTTTATTTACTGGGACTAAATATGGATAATTGACGTGGACAGTCACAAACAGGGCCAAGTTTATCAACATATAACTATTGATTTCCTTTTTCAGGAATGGCTTGTTGTCTTGGACAGTGACACACAGGGATAAGTTCTATCATCATATTACTATAGGTTTCCTTTTTTCAGGAATGGCTTGTTGACTTGGACAGTGACACACAGGGACAAGTTCAATCATCATATTTCTATGGGTTTCCTTTTTCAGGAATGGCTTGTTGACTGGGACAGTGCCACACATGGACAAGTTCAATCATCATATTACTATAGGTTTCCTTTTTCAGGAATGGCTTGTTGACTTGGACAGTGACACACAGGGACAAGTTCTATCATCATATTACTATAGGTTTCCTTTTTTCAGGAATGGCTTGTTGACTTGGACAGTGACACACAGGGACAAGTTCAATCATCATATTATTATTGGTTTCCTTTTTCAGGAATGGCTTGTTGACTTGGACAGTGACACACATGGACAAGTTCAATCATCATATTATTATTGGTTTCCTTTTTCAGGAATGGCTTGTTGACTTGGACAGTGACACACATGGACAAGTTCAATCATCATATTATTATTGGTTTCCTTTTTCAGGAATGGCTTGTTGACTTGGACAGTGACACACAGGGACAAGTTCAATCATCATATTACTATGTGTGTTAGCAAGTCTATGATTAGTTAAACACCGCTGGCTAGCATACTTGCTGTTTGAAAAGAGAGCCGATTGTGTAAGTCTTTCCTGCCAGTACATAGCATCTACACTACCAAGACTATTGCAGTGCCTTCCCGCGACAGTGCACGTAAACTGGGGTCTAGTACCTCAGACTAACTGCAGGAGATCTCGGAGCAGCAACGGTCCTAGAGATGCAGTGTGTAGGCCCACCGGTGTATGGGCATGCCCTAGCACTCATCAACCTTTGTCCCAGCTATGGGTTAGATGAGAGTCGTAGCCCAGTAAGGCAACTAATCTAGGAGATGGTAAACTTCGAAAACAAACCTGGATAGAACGTATTCATTAGCTCTGGACAGCAGCTTTTCTAGAGGATGGAAACCTTGACCACAAATTCCCTGTCCCTCCAGGTTGGAGTGTTGGGCATGGGGTTAACTCCCTCATCCTTTAAAAACTATCACAGTTACAAAAATAACAACAAATGAAATTAGGTCCAACAGGGGACTCAAACAACAGCGGAATGACTTCTATTGTGGAAATTAGGAAAATGAATACGATTCTTCTAGGGCCTAAAGCACAAATACATATAGGAGCCTGTAATGTTCGAACCATGTATGAAACATCAACGACAGCACAGGTCATCAAGGAAATGCAGCACTACAGGTTGGACATTCTTGGCGTGAGCGAATGTCGTTAGACTGGCTCAGCAAAGACCAGAACAAATATTGGCAACATCATCCTAATGGTGTAGCAATAATTATATGCAAAGAAAAGGCAAAAACACTATTAGAATGGGAACCAATCAGTGAAAGATTAATAACAGCAAGATTTAATTCAGACTAATGTAAGCTTTCTATCATACAGTGTTACGCACCGACAAATGATGCTGAAGATGAGACCAAGGATGATTTTTACGAACATCTGCAGACTACCATTTCTAAAGTACCTGAACACGACATGCTGGTAATAATGGGAGATCTTAACGCAGACAACACTATGCTAAAAATGTCATGGGCAGGCATGGTTGCGTGGGGGCGGATGAGAATGGGGAACGTACAATCGGTCTTTGTCTTTGCAAAAAAAAAATTTATAGGAGGGACCATCTTTCCTCATAAAAACATCCATAAACTAACATGGATATCACCGGATGGAAGAACAGTAAACCAGATTGACCACATATTGTGACAAACAATTGGCGTAGACCATTAAGAGATGTACGAGTACTCAGGGGTGCAGACGTAAATAGTGATCACTACCTACTGAAAGCCACCATCAAATTAACACTTAGAAAGGCACCAAATGAAAATTAGAACAGAAATTAAGAGACTAGACACAGCAAGGCTGAAGTCACCAAATGTCACGAAAACATTTTGCTTAGAATTGAAAAATCGGATTAGTGTGCTAGACAACTCTGATGATGGAGAAGGCAGTTTACAAGAGAAGGGGGATAACATCAAACTTTTAAGATATTTATGTAAAAACTACAGAAAAGACAGTTGGTCACAAGACAAAAAAGAACAAAGATGGCTAACACCGGAAACCTGGCAAACAATTGAAGAAAGAAAAACTATAAAACAGAAAATAGTAAATGCAAAATCCAAAAGGTTACAAGATCAACTACAAGTAACATACAGAACAAAATACAAAGAAGTTAAAAGAAGTGCTAGAGAAGATAAAAGACAATATCTGGAGGACCTCGCAAAAGCAGCAGAAAAGAGAGAATTGGGTACAGTTTACAAAATCACCAAACAGCTTTGTGGAACATCAAATGCCCAGACAGCACATGTAAAAGACAAAAATGGCAATTCATTGAAAACAGAACAGAAACAAGCAGAAAGGTGCGTCCAACCTTTCAAAGAGGTATTAAACTGCACTGAGCCTGATGTCATAGCTAATCCTGAACCATCGGAAGATGATTTTAAACATCAACACAGAACCACACTATAGCAGAAGTAAGAAATGCTATGAAATCATTGAAAACAGGCAAGGCACCAGTCATTGATTCCATCTACGCAGAGATGTTAAAGGCAGACTTAGATACATCATCCAAAGTACTTCACAATTTTTTCCTTGTCATATGGAAAGAAGGGCACATACCACCAGACTGGAGCAAAGTCCTCATTGTGAAATTACCAAAGAAAGGTAATCTACGCAACTGTGACAACTGGCGAGGGATTACATTACTTTCTGTCCCTAGTAAAGTATTCTGCAAAATTCTTCTAAAAAGAATTGATAAAATCGTGGATGAAAAGCTTAGAGAAGAACAAGCAGGCTTAAGAAGATCAGAGGGAGAGGATGCATTGACCAAATATTCACACGCAGGAACGCCATTGAGCAATGCATAGAATGGAACACACCCCTTTTCATTAATTTTATTGACTTCAAAAAATTATACATAGATAAACTCTTTGGAGAATTGTAAAATCATATGGAATTCCACCTAAAATTGTGATGCTTATAAAAGCTTTCTACAACAGCTTTGAATGCAGTGTCATCCTTGATAGCTCTATCTCAGACTCATTTGAAGTTAAATCTGGTGTAAGACAGGGATTAATTATGTCACCCATCCTGTTTATATAATTGGCCATTGACTGGATACAAAGGCAAACAATTTTAGACAAGAGAAGGGGTATCCAGTGGACCATGTTTAATCAGCTAGAAGACCTTGATTTTGCTGATGACATAGCCATATTATCAACAACAAGCGATCACCTACAAGAGAAGACCACCACACTTAACAACTATGCAAAGCAAACTGGTCTGAATGTAAATGCCAAGAATACCAAGGTAATGTCAATAAACACCAGAAATACAACAACAATTACAATCAGTGATCTGCCAGTAGATAGTGTTGAAAACTTCACTTACTTTGGAAGCATCATAAGTGTAGATAATGGGGCAGGTAAGGATATAAAGGCAAGACTATCTAAGGTACGTGCAACATTTGCAAGACTTCATACAATCTGGAAGTCCAACCAGTACAGTTTAAGGACCAAACTGCGAATGTACAACAGCAATGTAAAATCTGTTACACTGCATGGTTCAGAAACTTGGCGTGTTTTAGTAAGCGACCTTCAAAAAGTAGATGCATTCCATACTAGCTGCCTAAGAAAGATCAATAGAATATTTTGTCCAAATAAGATCAGCAACAAGTGCTGAAGAAATGTTATGTTAAGAACATAACAGCAGAAATCAAACAACGAAGATTTAGATGGTTAGGCCATGTGCTGAGAATGCCACAACACAGCACGCTTAAACAGCTCTATATTGGACACCACCAAGAAAAAAAGAAACCAGGGAAACCAAGAATCACCTGGCGAAGAACTGTAACAGCAGAACTGGAAGCAATGGGTCACACCTTGGGTCAAGCCCAGTAAATGGCTAAGGGCAGAGAGAAGTGGAGGCAGTTTGTAGTGGCCTTATTTCCCATTGGGGATGAAGAGTATAAGTCAGTAATTACTACGAGTTTCCTTTTTCAGGAATGGCTTATTGACTGGGCCAGTGACACACAAGGACAAGTTCAATCATCATATTACTACGAGTTTCCTTTTTCAGGAATGGCTAGTTGATTGGGACAGTGACACACAGAGTCAAATTCTTTCATCATATTACTATGTGTTTCCATTGTTCGGGAATGGCTTGTTTACTGGAACAGTGACGCACAAGGCCAAGTTCTATCAACATATAACTATTGGTTTCCTTTTTCAGGATGGCTTGTTGACTTGGACAGCGACACACAAGGACAAGTTCTATCATCATATTACTATAGGTTTCCTTTTTCAGGAATGGCTTGTTGACTGGGACAGTGACACACAGGGTCAAGTTCTTTCATCATATTTCTATGGGTTTCCTTTCTTCTGCGTACTTGGCGGTTATGTTGCTGGTAAATACGGCGGGAAAATAATCATGATTATCATGATGACAACGTTGGCTGTTGCTTCGATTGGAATCCCTTATGCAGCTATTACAAGTCCATATATCGTTATGGTGATACGGATCATTGTCGGTCTGGCATCGGTGAGTATGACCTTACATATATTTTATGTTAGTATTGTATTAATAAAGCAATATTATTTTTCTAAGTTCAAATCTGAGTCATAAATCCCTAAGAAGGATAAAAACTGAGAGTATCTGATGAAATCCAAAAGGCGTGCTAATCCATAGTTTAATAAGTGAGGCCGTATATTTCTTTGGGTTCTACGGAGAATTGCTATGCTAGTATGACATTTGAGAGAGAGAGAGAGAGAGAGAGAGAGAGAGAGAGAGAGAGACATTAATTATATTGTTATGATGCTACGGATTATTTTGTCAGATATCACTTAATGTGATTTCGTACTGCTATCCACTTATCCATCGAACAGTTTTGTCATTAGGAGTATCACCCGCATAACTGTGTGTGATTAAACAAAAATACAACAAAAAATGTCGAACTACAAGGTAAATTCAAAAAGATTGAAGTCCATGAAACCTGACAAAACGCTCGACTGTATCAACAAACAAAACGAATTGAAAATAACTGTCATATAAGTAACAGATAGAGATATAAAAAATTGAAAACAACACGTTAAATAATTTCATGCGTCCGAAGCGCTTTTCTGGATTTACCTTCATCAGGAAGGTACCGATCACTCATCTTTTGTGTGTTTAGGGGGTGTCTCGGGTGAACCTTTTTTTTAATTAATCAAATAGCAAAAACTCAATAGCACACAAGAATAGTTTTCGTTAGACTAAATTTTTTTTCTCATTCTCAATTCCCTTTCTAAAACAGTTTCCCCCAAAAAATATATAATCAAACAATGTATTAAAAATATCCATATCCCTACAAATGATGAATATTGGGTGTCTTACTGATTTCTACAAAAATTCAGATGGTTGGATCATTCCGATTTCTTGTAGGGTGGTTTAGAGCCAAGCATGATGACAATTATATCTAAATGGGCACCAGTCGTTGAACGATCACAAATGATATCAACTGCTATTGGAGGTATTGCGTCAGCTTTTCCCAAACTGTGCTTTTAACTTACAAATTAGGAGGAAGATGATGCGTTATTTTAGTCTACTAATAATTATCCTCTAAAATGTGTTCTAATTGTGATCATGTACATGTTGAATATTTGAATTATTTGGAATGGATTTGGACTGAAGACGAAATTTATTTTGTTGCTTTTTGAAAGTTAATCCCTTTTTTCTAACCTTTATTTAATTTGCATGGAGCACTCTTTATAGTTATTGCGATGTACCGCTCACAAATATGTTATAGTTCCTTAATACACTAAATTCAACCACTGATTCTAAGTCTGGTTTTTTTTTTTCTTCATTTATCTTATCCTGTGTCATAACTGTAGTGAACAATTCTAATTTATTTTGATAAAGATTTTAATAAAAACTTTTACTCTAAACTGTGCTGAACAGTATTACTCCAAAGGGCATTTTCTTTTTATCACACAATGCCAAAACATTGAACAAAGGCACCCAATTTTGCATCTAATACTATTATTTAGTAGAGGTTAGATTCGAATCAAGAACAAATTAGTATATTAATCAGTTCAATTTAAAAAAAAATGACATTAATTCAAATATTTGCAGACTACTGTCGACGATCTATTCCTCATTTGCAGACTTCTCCATCTATTGAATGTTCCACACATTGATGTAAAGACAAAACGTGCTCTTTTTAATTTGTAGTTTACATAATACTTTTGAACAATGTCTCAAATATAACAATCTGATTTCTTGTCTTTTCTAATTCATGAATTTAAAACAAACATACTCTAAAAGTCTATAAAGACATCACATGAACATTTTGACAAACTCCTAAAATCCATATCGACAAAGGGTATATTGTCATAGATGCATGTATACTCAGAGCTTTCTACATTGATGTTGTTGACTTAATGATTTAGCCAGAAGCATTTAATAAGATCTTTCACATTTTTCTTGCATTTTTTCATACTTTCGCCAGCCGAATGCTTCATTATAACCATTCATGTGCTGTAGTTCTATACTGATCTCACTGATCATTCCGTTCCTGTGCTGTAGTTCTGTGCTGTTCCCATTAATCATTCCATTCCTTATTTCAGGGTGGTATTATGCCTTGTATTATGCAGATTTTATCTAAATGGACACCGCTTTTTGAAAAATCACAAATAATAGCCACAGCTATGGCAGGTATATATTTTAATACTAAAAATTGTAGGGATTGCATTTTTATTTGTCACAAAATTTTTCTACTTGTTATTGCCACTTTTCGTATAACGTGAGGGTAACCAAATTGCACCTATTTTGACAGTTTTAGACCTATGTTTATTTATGATCTAGACAAAAGTTTCCGTTCTGTGTTTATTTTTTTAGATGTATCCTTATGTTTTATGTAGTTCCACCAATTGTATTTTGATTCCATATTGAATTATAGAAAAATGGGTGTGAACCGACCTCCAACTATCCATGATTCTGTAACATGTGTAATGAGGAATACCCAAATTGCATCCATGCTTAAAATCACATCCGTAAAAATCGATGCTGTTTTGTCTTATTTCTCCAAATAGTTAGAACAATTTGACAATAGTTCATGCTTATTATTCATTTTTCAAGAAATGGATGCCTGTAACATATTTCTATTGCTCATTTTCAAAAGTTGACTTTTTGTGGACGTCGCATGGCGACGTTTCCGAAGATTTTACTTTCCAGTGAAAACTTTATATGTTGGTATATACTGTAAACGTTTTATGTGTGTTTAAATATATTTAGCTATGTTGAAAGACGTGCATAATGTCAAATCATAAAAAAAAATTGTTAAGTCTCTATGAAAACTTGTAAGATTTCCACTGCTATTTTTGCTAAATGGATGCAATTTTGGTACTCGGTGCAATTCGGGTACTGTGACGTTACATGTTATAATGGGTTTCCCAAGAACTTTCTTTCCTGACGACATATAACTTTGCACAGTTTGTGTAAAAATATATAGGAATTTAACACTAGTAATAGTAGCAGGTAATACAATATCTGATATGATTGTTCGAGTTCGAGACAAATCAAATCACAACAGCAATTGTTAAGACATGTTTGTCATTTGCCATTTCAACTGATGATTTATTTCCTTTTCTTCAAAACAGAAACAAATGCTTCCAAAATCATGTTACACAATATCACACACCTATATCCCCCTCCAAAAAAAAAAAAATTTGACCCCCAAAAAATTACCCTCATTTCAAGTAAAAGAGCCCTAAATTTTCATAAAAAAAAAGCAAAAAAAAACGCAAAAACACCAAAATTTTCTTACTCCCAAAAAATTTTTTTTTTTACTTTGGAAAAAAACGTTATTAAAAACACCCAAAAAACAACAAAAAAATTCCAAAAAAAAAATAAATAAAAAAACCGGGAGAACAGGCGAAGAAAGAATTCTGTGGGATTTAAGAGAAAAAAAAAAAAAATCAATTTTTACTTTAAAAAATGAAACAACCTACAGCTCCTGATTTATATCCAGAATTACCTATAGAAGATGGACAAAATTATAGACTACAAAAAATAACAGAAATAGAAAAAACATTAATAAATGAGAGAGATAAACGTAAATCACTATACAAAAAATATAAACGCGGAGTTAATGTTACTGATGGTGTTGATACAAGTTTAATTTCGACATCTGTTGTTTTAGCTGGTATAGGAATAGCTTTTCCTATCTTACTTCCCATACAAATTGCAGCTGTTGTATGTGGAAGTTTAGGAGGTCTAGTTAAATTAATTAGAAGAAAGTTGACAACAAAATCAAAAAAACATTATGAAATTAAAACAATGGCAGAATGCAAGTTAAACAGCATAAAAGATTTAATATCAAAATCTTTAACTGACGGACAGATAAGTGCAGATGAATTTAAACTTATTTTAGATGAATTAGAAAAATACAACAAAATGAAAGAAAATATACGAACAAAACAAACACAAACAGTAATGAATGATAATGAAAGAAAAAAACTAATTGAGGAAACAGAAAATAGAGTAAAAAACGAATTAAAAAAAAAAATGGAAAATCTTTGATTTTCTTTAATAAAATAATTTTAGTTGATAACGGAAATCCACCAAACTATGAATCAATTTTTAATTAAATAAATGGATGAAGAAACAAAAGAAAAATTAGTAAAAAATGTAAAAATAATGTTAAATAAAAAATTTAATTATTTTTATCTTAAGTTGTTTTTAACAGGTTCTTTTTATTGTTTATTATCTAATATTTTAGATGAATAAAATGGCTGAAGGAGGTTATGAGTTTGATAATCCTGTGTTTAAAAATAATGATTATGATGATGATTATGAAGAAGAAGAAACGTCTTTTCAAGATGATGAAGAGTTTCAAAATAATATAAATAAGGAATTTGAAATATCAAGAGATTTATCAGAAAATGATGTTAAAATTCGTAAAAAAGAAACTACAAAAAAAATGATTAAACAATTTTATAAAAAAAATGGTGAAACTATACGTAATGAAAAGGTTTTTTTTGTTGGGGAAAATCATAAGGGAAGACAAATCTTATATGTAAAAGATGAAAAAGGTAATGATATTGCATTAACATATTACCAAAAAGGAGTATTAAAGTTTTATAAATTTAGCACTCTTCAAAGAGAATACGGTGTTAATTTTGTCAGGGATGTTTTAGGTGTAGATGATTATAAAATATCTGATAATTTAAGAGAAGGTAGAGCAGGGTTTCAGAGAATGTTAAATGAACTCGATAATATAGAAATTCCATTACAAGAAATATCTACACAAGAAGAAGGACAAGAATTATTAGAAACAGCAAGTAATGCAGAAACATATGTGAAAGAAATAGAAACTTCATTTATTGAACAAGGAACATCTTTAATAAATGAAGAAACACAAACAAAAATGACAAAAAGAGAGATGGATGGTATAATAAAAGCATTTACAACAGCGGAAGATGAGATTGCAAATAATTTAGCAAAACTGAATGAAACAAATAAAGACTTAGCAAAAGAAAATGCCAAATTAGAACAAGCTAAAGAATACAATGATGAATTTCAAATAGATAGAATAAGTAGTCGAATAAGAGAGTTGGAATCTGAGAGAAGTGCAAGACTAGAAGTAATTAATATTAATAAAGAAAAACTACGTAGTCAAGTAAACAGATTTAAACAAACAATACATAAAATGTTAAACGAAGACAAAACATTAGGTGAAAGAATAAGAACATTATTCAGAGAACAAGGAATAACAATAGTTAGTGTTTTAACTGCTTTTGGAATGATTATTGGTGTTATTGTTGAAGCATTTACTGGTGGAACTACTTCTCCTTCTCCTTCTCCTTCTCCTCCATCAAAAGGTGGTGGTGTACAAGACTGGATAAAAAAACAATTAAAAAATCTTGGAAAATTATTATCTTTTCTTGCAGGAAAATTAGCAGCTGCATTACCAGGTATTATAGGTTCTATTGTTTCTTGGTTATTGTCTGCAACAAAAGACGTAGTAAATTGGTTTGCAAACAACTTATGGGCATTGCTTATTTTAGTTGTTAGTTTATTGTTTACTGCTGCTAGAGATTATTTGAAAAAATAAAGTGCTGTAAATCCTATTACAATACTTACAAATATTATTGCTTGTTTATTATCTTCATGATCTTCATGTTCAATTTTTTTTATTGGATCTATTTTTGGTTCTTTAGGCTTTTCAGGTTTTATAGGTTCTTGTGGTTTTACAGGTTCTTTTGGTTTAAAATCAACATGATCAAAATTTTTATTATTTAAATCATCATTTAACCCAAGTGTTTGATTTTGTGTTGCAATTATAATTTTATTATTATAACCAACAATACTTCCAATTTGTAAAACCATATCACTGGGAGACATATATAAACCAAGTCCATAAGCATAATCAACTTTACTTCTTGCATATTTTAAAACATTTTCATAATTCGATATCTGGGTGGGTAAATCGATAGGACTATTTATTACATCTTGTACATTTGCTAAGAA